TCTCATGCTCTCTATCTCATTCTCTCTCTCAAATAAATAAATAAAATCTTAAAAAAAAAAAAATGCCTGCAGTTTGGTGGAACAGATGAATGGTCTCTGAGCCTGAGACAAAACCTATTCTGTGTGGCCAGGCAGGACTGAGGGGGCACCATAATAACCCTGCGCTTGCTTCGAGCTGTGTCTCTTCTGGCCGGTTTGCCTTCAGCCTCCTGAAGACCGGCCGCAAGGACACAGAGGCAGCCTTACTAGGAGCATAAAGGCCAAGGCGGGGAGATGTCCCAGGGAACTGGGGGAAATGAGCACGTGCAGAAGAGAGTGCCAGGCAGCCTGCGAGCCTTCAAACTGCTGCCAATGCTTTGGGCCCCGGAGCTCCCCGGGACAGGAGCTGGAAGCAGGGCTCCTAACAGCTGTGATACTGAGAGAGTTCTCAGTTGAAAGGAGAGGGGGCTTTGATGCCTGACCATCGAAAACCAGCGTTTCTCCAGGTGAATCTCTGGTGACAATTCAAATTTCTGTGCAAAGTCGGCCTATAGAGCCTCTGCCGTCCCAGTGTGAGGGTGAGAGGGTGGCCTGCGTCCTGGGAGAAGAGGAAGGATGGTGCAGACTTGTGCCGCTTGGCCCCCTCCGCATCCGCTCCAGCCGACAGCCCCGGCCCCCAGCCCTGGCCCCCAGCCCCGGCAGGCACGTACCTTCACACCGCAGCACGGCGCTGTTCCAGACCACGCTGCCCTCCTTCAGGATGCAGGTGATGGTCTCCGAGCCCTGAGTCCCGAGGAAGCCTTCATCACAGAGGAAGGAGATGGAGCTTCCCAGCTGGAGGCTGTCACCAAACCGTTTGCCATTCACTGGAACGCCGGGATCTGGGCACTCATTGTGTCGGAAGGCTGTGTGGATGGAGGCCAAGGACGGGATTAGGCAGAGCTGGCGTGCAGATGGACCCCCTCCCCCCTGAGAAAATAAGCTTCATTATGATAGGCAATCCTAGACCCCATCACTTCCACAAGAACCCGCCCTACTGGAGTCAGAGCCAGATGCCCCAGAACCAGTGAGCCACAGTGGGCAGAAAGCAGGTGATTGTTAAAACTTGATTTCCTACCTTCCTGAGCACCTGATCCAATTTCATCCTAATGAACATATCGAGCTCAGGCAGCGAACTAAGTATTTCTCATGTCAGCTCATTTACATCATATAATGATTCCATGAGGTAGACATAATTATCCCAGGTTACAAATGAGGAAATTGAGGCTCAACATGGCTTAGGAGCAGAGCTACTTCCTGCTGTCACATCCATTCCACACTTCCCTAACTTCAGACAGTTATGGGATCGTTTATGTTGCAGATGAGCTGGACTCCAAGTCCTGTGACACTAATAGACACTAAGCATCATAAAGTAGGTGCCCTGGACTCAACCCTGTCTGAAGCCATTTCCTTCATTTCCTTGGGTATTGTCAGGCTGCCTCTCGCTCTGTCCAGGCAACTGATAATGCAGCGGGAAGGGGGAAGAGGACAGAGAGCACTTGAGGGTTTAATTGAGCTTTGCCTCTTGTTAGTTACACGGTTCTGGGCAATTTATGTAATCTTGCTGAGCCTCTGTTTCCTGACCTATAAAATGGAGACTGTACTTCCCCGGCAGGGTCATTTTGGGATAGAAATAAAAGGAAAGTTGGTATGAATTTGAAAGTGGAGAATGTTTGGGAGGGTGCCTGACAGATGGTAAGTACTCCCTGAGTATGAGTCCATTGCCTTCTTCCCATTCCCACCCTGTCTCCACGGAGCACGTTCCCAGCCCGCCTCCATCAGGGTGCCACAGTTCTGGAGCTCAAGTCTCTGAGCCACACCCTATCTGCGTCCCTGCTGTTGTGAGGACGGTGCTTTCCAGGAGACCAGGCTCCCTGGCTCTGCAGACGGGTGCCACTTTAAATTAAGAACTCAATTTGCAAGCCTCTGAAATTCACTAGTGATTTTTTTTTTAA